GCCTTTCAAATATATGCTTTTGTGATGAGGTCATCTAAGAACTTTAAGAAACCCTCTACGTACCTTTATCTTTATAAAGCCTTGTTACGCTCCCAACTTGAGTATGCCATACCAATATGGAATCCTCTGTACAATAAGTATGTTGACTTAATTGAAAATGTGCAGCGTAAATATCTGCGATCCATGCACTTCAGGTGTTATGGCACACACATCAGTTGTTGAATAGGTACAAACTGCATTCTCTTCAGTTTAGGCGTAAAATCCTTGTATGTATAGTACTTCATGGTATCATTAATAATAAATTTGATTGTACTGACTTGACCAACAGATTATGTTATATTGTCCCAAGAACGGTTCATTGGCGGGAGGTGTGCGTTCGTTAGCTGTTCGCAACTGCCAAATGTCGTACCAAAGCGGGTATCCGCTCACCTCCGCGTCAAATGATTGATATCTATAATAATAACTTTGTTGACTCTGACATATTCCATCTTTCTGAGTTTCAATTCAAGCGTTACATCTGTAATATATTTAACACTTTTTAGTGAGGTTTTTTTAACCATTTTTTTACTCTTTTGGTTCGTTATTTAGATATTTAGATTTAGATGGATACTTTTTATTGCATAACACACTTTACACTTATACCATAGATAATGTATGGAATAAAATGTACAGTTGCACAGTTCTTAACAGCAATCTCTCCTAGACCATGTTTATAAATATGTTAATTGTAATTATGTTCTGTTAATGATTAACTTTGGTATTTTGTGCAGTCGCTGGCACTGGCATGTGTACACCTATAATTAAGTACAAACTTTATTATTACTTTAATAAAGATAAACCTAAGTGTTTACATCTTATTGCTGGTGACTGTACCTAACTACTTACTCAATATCAGCTGTTGTTGCTTAGCATCTGATAGCATCCGATAATTTATATTTATGTTCACATTTTTTTAATATGTGGATAGTGTATTTGACTACATATTTATTCTTAGTTTTACTTTAGCTATCATTATTTTGTATTACATTATATTATGTAGTTGTTTGCTATTCCTAATAAAGAGAAAAAAATATGTCATGTTATACTAAGACTAAAAAAATAAGGGTGTCCGGTCTTTTTACCAAAGTGTCCGGCTAAGCTCGTTGGTCTGTCCGGCTTTTCGGTCTTAAGACCTGACAACCCTAGCCGTGGCGCTGAGTAGATCTTCGTCAACTACGCCCGCAATTTTTAATCGTTAGATATATTTACTTTAGTACAGTATATTTCAATTAGTATAAAGTTCGCACATTATTATTATACCAGATGGTTAACTCATTATAGTTATTTTGGTTGTAGCTGAGCTTTCTTACCAGTCCGAATTGGGAAAAATAAATACAAGTATTAATGTATCACTTAACGTAAAAAAATATCCTATCTCTAATTTCTTATACTTACGCGAACACTATGCATTGATTAAAACTACTTTTACGGATTTTATCGCGTTTTATTTATTTTATCTTTAATACCCGACGTTTCGGGTGCTTTCCAGTCCCCCGTGACCATGGGTGCTGGAAAGCACCCGAAATTTCGGGTATTAAAAATAAAATAAATAAAACGCGATAAATTCCGTAAAAGTAGTTTTAATCAATATCCTATCTCTGGAGAAAAAATAATGGAGAATAAAAATGTCTGCATGCTTGCCATATGGCCTGGCCCAGATTATGCAGTAAAAGTACTAAAAATCTACAAAGACGACAAAATTTGGATTTTGAATATGTTAGCCAAGTAACAAGCGTTTCATAAAAAGTGTGTACTGCCTGAAATTATTGACTCGAGTTAAGCTCCGTCAATGGCGTTGCGGCAAATACTTTTATAATAAAACAATATGGTAATTGACTGTAAGTACCAATTAAAAAAATATAAGTTACAGTTGGTTATTTTATTTATTTAAACAGGTTGCAACCATACTGTTAATTTATTTATACCACTATGCTACCGTAGATATAATCGATTATTAACCAACATCGGTTAACAATCGATTACTGTGAAACAAAAATAAAAAACAAAAATATTTATGTGTACTTATTTCAAAACTAAGGTTCCTAAATAATAAAAAATATATCAAATAGATTATAATAAATTAATTAGATAACATAAAAATTACACACCAAAAAGTTTCCATCCACTGAACAACATCCTAAGAAAACTTGTATAATGGAAGATCAAAAACGTTATAATCGCTATACTCACAGTATCATAGTGCAAGCTAATGAATAGATATGAAAATAAATAGTGTCGCTCGCGAGGTTGTAGGTAGGTACGTAATTGGTGCTTTTTTGGTTGTTTTGGTTCATTTATAATAATGCAACATAAAAGCAATCATCATCATCATTATCATTACAGCCCTTCACAAGTCCACTGCTGAACACAGGCCTCCCCCAAGGTATGCCACAAATCACGATCCTGAGCCACCTGCATCCATCGACTTCCTACATGTCCTACCAGGTCGTCACTCCATCTAGTGGGAGGTCGCCCTACACTTCGCCTACCGGTACGAGGCTGACACTCGAGAACCTTTTTTTCCCAACGTTTGTCGGTTTTTCGAGCTACATGGTCGGCCCATTGCCACTTCAGCTTACTAATCCGTTGGGCTATGTCGGTCCCTCTGGTTCTACAGCGGATATCCTCATTTCTAAGTTTATCACGCAGAGAAACCCCGAGCATAGCCTTCTCCATAGCTCGCTGAGAGACTTTGAGCGTCCTCATACGGCCAGCAGTGAAGGACCACGTGTCAGTTCCGTAGGTCAACACTAGCAACACGCACTGGTTGTACAATTTCGTTTTCCGGTTTTGAGGTATACCTGACGAGAAGATGTAACGTAATTTCCCGAACGCTGCCCAGCCGAGTTGAATTCGTCGATTGACCTCTCGATCGAAGTTAGACTTACCTAGTCGGATTATTTGTCCCATTTAAACGTACTCGTCAACAACTTCGAGCTTAGTGCTCCCAACAACAGCCGGCATAGGTGTGACATGGACTTTAAACATGATCTTTGTTTTGTCCATGTTCATCTTAAGACCTATCCGTTGGGAGGCATTATTGATGTCATTGAGCATCGCGCTTAGGTCTTGCAGCGATTCTGCCATAAGGCCTATATCGTCGGCAAATCGAAGGTGAGTGATGTACTCGCAATTGATGTTAATACCGTATCCTTTCCAGTCCAGTAGCTTGAAAACGTCTTCCAATGCAGCGGTGAAGAATTTCGGGGATATAACGTCACCCTGCCTTACACATCTCAGCAGTTGGATAGGTTTCGTACTCTGGTTCTGTACTCGGATAGCCATGTATATATGGTCTATGGTACTAAACCCTTTTCGGAAACCGGCTTGTTCGGGAGGCTGGAAGTCGTCGAGTCTGCGTGCGAGACGAAAACAGCACGTAGACGAGGCTCAATAGGTCTGTAGTTCTTCAAAAGAACGTTGTCACTTTTCTTGCAGAACAAGACCACCGCACTTCTGCTCCACGCCTCGGGAGTAGTGCCACCATGGAGGACGGAATTAAAGAGCTTCTGAAGGACTACAAGTACCGGTTTTCCACCCGCTTTTTTCCATCCGCTATCAGAAGCTCCGCTGTAATTTCATCCTCGCCCGGGGACTTGCCGTTTTTAAGGTGCTGGAGAGCTATTCTAATCTCGCTCAGACTGACGTCCGGGATATCATTGGAATAGTATCGGATAAGACTTACTCTTGGATCGTTACTCACATTTGCGTGTGGCTTCAACGATGATGCGTACAGCTGCCCATAGAATCTCTCAATCTCACTCAAAATCTCAGGTGTCCCTGCCACACTCAGACTTCAGCTTTGACAGTTATCTCTTTCTGGCAGACAGATCTCTGGCAAAGACTATGGAGATATGTCCCGTACATAAAAGCAATAATAATGTAAAATTTATAATAAAAGAATATTAACAGATTCACGGAAGCGTGATTTTGTTTTCTAATTAGTAAATTACGCTAATATAAGGTACTCGAAATACTAATCCTGCGCAGACGAAGCTGCGGGCAACAGCTAGTAAATTATATACCTAAAGTAAGAATTACAATTATTTTATACAATGTTCTTTACTTGTCAGTTTTTGTACCAATACAAAAATGTTGTTATAATATTTATATACCGACGTTCTTAAATATTTAATACAAATTGGCAGTTATTATTAATATTAACTATAACATAAAATTGTGGTGGACATTATGAATTTACAATATTTAAATCTCTAGGGTTGGTCTTTTCTTGGTCTAGGTTCCTAAATCGTATCGGTCCGGAAAAATCTCTGGTGGTAGTCGAATCCACAAGGAAGTTGTGCTTCTTTTAAATCGCACAGTGGTGGACTGCTAGTTATCCAGATGGTATGGATGGTCTCGCGAGTTTTTAACTCGAGTTAGAAACAAATAAATTCAATAAGACATATAAAATATAACAAATAATTGGGTCCTTATATATAAAATTAATGTTTTGTCGTACTGACCACTTTGATCTGAAATATCTCCTCTTTGGTTAAGAATTCCAAAATCAAATTTATAAATTCATTTAGCTGGTACATTTGAGTTTTGAAAACAATCATTCATTTGTTTTTTCCTCATTATTTTTTTCTTTGACGCACAAATTTTTATTACCGCACAATGGAAAACATTAAATATCGGTATATTTACCAGTACGAGTTCTATACCGTGGCACCAGTGCTGCAGAAACAACTCGAAGGAATAATGGTGTGTACGGCGCTGGTATATCAAGAGAAAGCACGATACGATTTTGGTTTCAACGTTTTTGTTCTGGAAATTTCGACCTTCAGAACCAACCCCGTGGACGGCCGGAGACCAAAGCGGAACGCTATTGTGGAAGCGGATCCATCACAAAGCGCTTCAGAGATAGCTGCAGGCTTCAGGGTAAGTGATAAAACTGTAATAATTGTAACTGTAATAATGTAATTACGAAATGTTATCAGTGTGTGAAAAGCGTAAATATGGAGGATGCAGTGCAATGTGATGGGTGTAAACGACACTTGTGTTTTACTTGTAGTGGACTTACTAGCAGTGAAATCAAAGTAATGGGCCTAAAAACCAAACGTACAATGCTATTTCTATGCATACCATGTCGCGAGAGGCTGTTTCAAGTACCGATTTTGATAAAAGCTGTTGATGCATTGCGGGATGAAGTACAGCAGTTGCGATCGGAATTGGCATCGAAATCTGGCCTAACTGATGCCACTTCTGCTTCAAAAACCGTCACGTCTGATGTTATAGCGGAAATACGTGAGCGGGAGCGCCGAGCGTGCAATATTTTGATCGCGGGCACCAAGGAATCTGAGGCGGAAGATGTGCAAATACGCCAGAAATATGATGAAAATGTGGTGAACAATATTATTAGTAATATCCCCAAGTGATGTGCTTAAAATTATAAGGCTAGGAAAAAGAGAAACAGGCAAGACTCGTTTGCTCAAAGTAGTGTTTAAGTCTCGCTGGGTAGCTGTCAAGGCACTTCAAAACAAACAAAAGTTGAGCAAACCGTTGCAAATCTACTGTGACCAAACACCAAAACAAAGAGAGGTCCTACAGGCTCTGCGTACCGACTGCTGGCTAGGCAAGAGAAGGGTGAAACGGATATCACAATCAAATATGTCAAAGGAGAACCCAAAATTATAAAACAATAAAACTAATCACGTACGGGTTGTTAACCCGTACGCTACACTCACATTTTCATACACTAACATCTGGTCTCTGAATACTAAGTTTGATTTACAGCTTCTTGAAATACAAACAAAAAACCCTACATTTGTTTTACTTACAGAGACTTGGCTAAAAAGCATAGACAAGAGAGCCAGCATTTCGATTCCAGGTTACACACTATACAGATTAGACAGAAAAATAATTCCTAGAGGAAAAATCAAGAGGTGGTGGTGTAGCAGTTTATGTACGGAAATTCATTAATAATGTACCAATAGTTGTAAAAAAAAATAGTGCATACATGAGTGAATTGACAGAAGCATTATATCTTGATATTCAACTAAAATCACATCACTTTCTATTAGTGGTTATATACAGAGCGGACAATGACAAGGAATGGAATATTAAGGACAAAATACTATATGAAAACTTAAGTAATGCAAATATCTGCACACAACACCATGGTCATAGTTGGGGATTTTAACTACAGGGACATTGTTTGGCCTCTTTCTTATAATCAGAGCTTGCATGACTCAGCTCAGCTCTTTCAAAAGCTCTATGCCAACTTGTCACCGAGCCAACCCCCTATCAATCCGGAAATATTCCCTCACTACTGGATTTGGTAATGACAAATGAGGAAGATCTTATCTCAGGCATTACCAACTCAGCTCCAATTGGTAAAAGTGACCACTGTGTAATTGAATTTCAAATTCAATACCTCATCTCAAGCCCTTCAGCGCAAGGATTGTTTAGACGTGCTTTACATAAAATAAACTATGAGATTGTTAATGCAGAGCTCAAAAACACGCTATGTAATCATGACTGCAGTAAATCAGTAGATGAACAGTGGATGGCCCTGAAGGATGAAGTGGAAATTGTTTTAGACCGACATGCTCCTCTCAATATGGTTAAAAAAAAGAAAAATCTAAATAAACCCTGGATAAATGCTTCCATTGTTGAATTGACAAAACAGAAAAAGATTTTATGGGACTCATATGTGGCAGACAAGAAATGCGATACAAAATATAAGGCCTACAGAGACTGCAATAACAGGTGTGTTAGTGAAGCAAGAAGACTTAGAAGTCTTTACGAAGCCAAGATTGTCGAGAGTGGAAACAAACCCTTCTATGCTCACCTACGCAGTTGCATGGCTTCTAAAGTTGGTCTGCCGCCTGTGGTACGTGATGAACTTGGCAATCTTGTGGTTGAAGGGTCTAAAATTGCCGAAGCATTTGCTTGTGAATTTGAGAAAGCATACTCATTGGAACCTGACCTTAATAATATTTCCATACCTATACCAAGAGTTAAAAACTCCATAGATGACATCCATTTCACATCACAGGATGTGCTTATGGTTCTCAAGTCCCTAAATGTAAACTCTGCTTCTGGGCCTGATAATGTCCCTGGAGTATTTCTCCAATCATGCGCTGAAACCATCACACCTGTCTTGGTCAATATTATGAATGAATCATATGCTTCAGGTGAGGTACCAAAAGACTGGAGACATGCTATAGTAACACCTGTTTTTAAAAAGGGTGATAAATTAGATCCAGCTAACTAAGGTAATAATAGTATTGTTTGCAAATGTATGGAGAAAATTATATGTAAAAAAGTAAGAAAGTTCCTAGCAGATGAGAAAATTATTCCGGATAACCAGCATGGCTTTGTGGAACGGCGCTCGACTACAACTAACCTTCTTTCCTGCTACCACAAATGGACTGAGGAATTAGATAAACATAATCCTTTGGATATATTCTACCTGGACTTTGAACGGGCCTTTGACAAGGTACCACACAGACGTCTTTTGGTTAAATTGGAACATCTGGGTATCCGAGGAAATCTTCTGAAATGGATCATAAATTATCTGAGTGGAAAAACCTTTCAAGTAAGAGTTGGAAATGTATATTCGCAACATAAAGACGTCTTCAGCAGAGTGCCACAAGGATCTGTACTCGCGCCTACCCTCTTTGGCATTTTTGTTGCTGATCTGAGTTTTATAATACACTCAGAAGCCTGTTTCTTTGCTGATGATGTGAAATACTTCGGAAATCCTCTATTGAACCAGGGAACCTTAAGAGAAGACTTAGAGCGTATACAGGAGTGGACAAAAAATTGGGTTATAAGACTTAATCTTTCTAAGTGCACAGTTCTGCATCTAGGCCGAAACAATCCCAGAGAAATGTATAACATTGGAAATTCAACAGTACAGTCAGTTAACTCACACAAGGATTTAGGTGTCTTAATATCATCCGACCTCAAGTGGGCTGACCATATCCATAGTATTGTCAAAAAGGCAAACAGCATTTTGTATGCAATCAGACGATCGTTTCAGCATCTGACTCCAGATACATTACTTAAGGTTTATAAAACATACTTCCGACCGCTGATAGAGTATGGATTTCAAATTTGGAACCCCTATTTTTTTAAGGATGTGGATTTTGCTGGAGAGTGTACAGAGAAAAGCCAAAAAAATTCCATTATGCCTTCGCAAAAAGCCATATGAAGAGAGATTAAAAATATTGAATCTAACAACGCTGAAAACTCGCCGTACCAGAGGAGACCTTATTGAAACCTACAAAATATTGACACATAAATATAATTGCAAAGAGCTGCCACATATTTTTAACATCAGCAGTATCCACCGACCTAGACATCCTAATTATCATATAGTTAGGATGTCTAGGTCTAGCTCTAGGATTAGCCCACACTCGCTCATACACTAATGTGGGACATCACACACTAAACAACAGAATCATAAACATATGGAACAAGTTGCCTCAAGACGTGGTAGATGCTCCCTCTGTGATTAGTTTTAAAAACAAATTGGACAAATGGTGTAAAGACAATCCAATTTAGTGTATTCTTAGTGTGAACTTGGACTAATATAAAACACCAACACAGATATAGGCATATCAGCTATAAGCTGCTCGCCTATTACCAGATAATAATAATAATAATTCACTTGAAGCAAATCGGGAGAGTAAAAAAACTTAAACGATGGGTACCTCAGGAATTGAGTGAATCGAACTTCCAAACACGTGTCGACTGCTGTTAGCTTGCTTAACCGACACAAAAATGAAGAGATTTTAAATCGAATCAGTACTTGTGATGTAAAGTGGATACTGACGATAATCGGAAGTGCTCATCGCAATGACTAAACCCTGGAGACCCAGCCAAATCCTGCCCTAAACGTGTGTGAGTGTGAGTGTTTGGTGGACTAGCGCCGGTGTCGTTCACTACAGCTTTCTAAAATCTGGCCAAACGATTACGGCAGATATCTATTGTCAGCAACTGCAAACCATGAAGGAAGAACTAGCTGCTAAATAACCGAGATTGGTCAATCGCTCCAGGCCACTGCTGCTTCACGACAACGCAAGACCACACACTGCACAACAAACAACCACCAAGTTAGATGAGCTACGATTGGAATTTCTGCGACATCCACCATACTCCTCGGACGTTGCTCCAACAGATTACCATTTTTCCGGAATTTGGACAACTTATTACAAGGAAAAAAATTTAACTCCGATGTGGCAGTCCAAACTGCCTTCAAAGAGTTTATCAATTCTCGACCCCATGTTTTCTTTTAGTAAAGGGATCAATTAACTACCTATAAGATGGCAAAAGTGCATAGATAACAACGTTGCATACTTTGATTAATTAAACCGTACTCCCGTACAAAACGCCAATTTCATATATCGGGAGTCGTGGTGAAAGTTTACAATAATTAAATGAATTCTTATCACAACGTGACATACTACAATGTTATTTATCATATCACTCGTGATAGCTAAAGGTCACTAGTAATTTACTGCGTATTTATTAAATAGGTATTTTATTAAATTTGTAATATAATAAGTAGTTCTTGTTAACCTTCCTATTTCCTACTATCCACTGTAAAGGGTCTCCACTGTCCATCACATGCACAACACTAAAATTTAGACGTTAAGGATTAAAGTCCTAAGAAAATTTTTATCATTTTGAAACATTGAGTCATACAAATAAATTAATGTTTTGAAAGCTTTAAAAAAGAATTCCCCAGTGTGTGTTCATCAACTTCATGTAACCTTGAAAACTATATATTTAGATATGCAGTAATAAATGTTATACCATATTCGAGCTACATTCTAAGTGCTAATTGTTATATATCACATACTGAAATTAACAAAATTTAAAAAATTTATTTCAAAATCATTTGAACTCTCAACATACGTTGAAGTAGGGATCTGTGTTCAAATGTAGTTCGTTTGGACGTACAGTCTTCATAGCAATTTTTTATGAGTCTAATGCTAAAATAAGACCTTCATCCATATCAGAGCCAAGCTACGTCAAGCGTGTCGGTTACGCCAAATACTCACTGTAATATGGGAGAGACCTATTTTCAGCTTTTAAATGATTAATTTAATATATAAAAATTAATACTTGTTCGTATTTTATGCGCTGCCATACCGTTAAGCGGATTGCGGTAAAACTCGCTATAGGTATAGTTAGTACCCACAATTAACTTACAGTAGATGGCGCACAAATTTATTTGATTTTTTTAATTAACTGGCTTTACGGCTCTGGGTTCTAGCCCTTCTGAGCCCTTCTGTTCCCGCCAAAAATTTATTTGAAAATGATATGTCATTTAACTTCAATGAATATATTACATATCATTCCTAATTAAAGAACGGACTCTTACAAATTTAAAACAATATTTCTACAACTATTCCGCGGCAGCAACGCGCCAAGTGTCACCTAGTGTATATATTGTACTAAAAAATTGTAAGTTCTTTAAAACTTTAAAAATAATTCTGGTCGAAAAATTAGACCTATGATAATTTAAGCATGCGATAGATAAAACGAGTACTCGTAAATTCCTTATCAGCTGATTGACTACTCGGCGAGCTAAATCGGTGTACGATAATTTTACACGCTTGAGACTTCTGGGAGATAGTTGTTAGCCAAACCAAAACCAAATATAAAGTTTAACATAAAGCTGGTATTTTACGCTGGTATTCTGTGAAAGCGTTTTCCAACCCCGATCGAGCCGACCTATTCGTGATGCAACCGTAATATACCTGAAGTATGGCTCTACCACGTATAGTTGTAGAGCAGTTTGTGTTGATTATTTATTTAAATATTTATTATCGACCTCCTCTAAGGAATGCCACAAAGCACGGTTCTTAACCGCCTGCATCAATCGACTTCCTGATGTCTTACCAGGTCATCGATCGATCATCGGGGGTCGTCTTACACTTCGTCTACCAGTACGAAGCTGCCACTCAAGAACCTTTTTACCGCATCGGTTGTCGTTTCTTCGAGCTATATGGCCGGCCCATTTCCACTTCAGCTTACTAATTGGGCTATATCGGTCACTCTGGTTATACTGCGAATATCCTCGTATCTAAGTTTATCACGCAGAGAAACCCCGAGCTCTCCATATTTTCTTATTCTCTATATATATTTTCTATTCTTCTCCATATTTTTTAATATTACCTCTACAATAATATTTTCTACTGAATCGTGGGGGGCCATCAAGTTTACATAGGTACATAAATTTCACTAGGACAAACATCCAGACCCGGAACAATTATTTGTAGGCTATAAAAATACTTCCATGCGGGATTCGAACAGGCGGACTTTCGCGATGCAACTAATTGCTGAGCCGCTGCGTCACGGAGCCGTCATTTTAAACTAATTATCATCAAACTGAGTAAACAAACACCCAGGGACAAATTTAGACCAAAACAGTGATAAACGAAGAGAAACATCAAATACAAACATAGTTTTTGATGCATTCAGCACATGAGTGCTTGTCGGAATCTTATAATAAAAAACTCCAAACGTACCTTATATTTTATCTATCTTTTTTTTTGATTGCTCTGAGGTCTGTAAACAATTATTATTTGCAGGCAATAAAAGCATTTGTTCCGTGCGGATTCGAGGCCGTGACCCCACAGAACCGCTAACCCACTGCGCTACTGTGCCGTCAAGTCTAAATATACAAAAATTATAATGTTGAAAAAAACAATTATTCGTATTTAGTAGACGAAATATTACTAGAGACTTTGTTATTGAATATTGCATATTTAATACCTCCAATACTCGATCTTCACCTTTTAGAGACAAGTACGGGAATACGCCGTATATATTGTTACATACAACTATCATAATTATGCAAATCGCATACGCACACGACTAAACTCGTATTTTTATTTTTAATCGCAGGAAGAGACAGCCAATGAACAGTTACTATGTCTATTAGAACATTTAAAAGGCACGAAGGTCAATCACTCGAAGACTAACACTTACAAGTACGTAGTACCTGCTACGAGTATTATTTATTCTGTGCTACAAGTTATTGAATAAGCATCGATTTTGTCTGTGGTACGAATCAAGCATAGATATATGAAGTGAAGTTGTTTTATTGCTTTGAAAAAATCAAACAAGAAAAGATATATTATTTACATGTAATATTACCAACCCTCATATACCACGATCCCTGGACATGTCCACTCCACAGCCCATTGCTTTGAAGTTGTAAAGTTTAATGAGCTTGTGTCCATCATGTTCCAAGCA